CCTTTTCTTGTTCTTTGTTCTCTTCCTTCTCCTTCTCCTTCTCCTGTTCTTTTTCTTTACCATCCTCCTTTCCTTTTTCTTTTTCTTTCCCCTTTTCTTGTTCTTTGTTCTCTTCCTTCTCCTTCTCCTTCTCCTGTTCTTTTTCTTTACCATCCTCCTTTCCTTTTTCTTTTTCTTTCCCCTTTTCTTGTTCTTTGTTCTCTTCCTTCTCCTTCTCCTTCTCCTGTTCTTTTTCTTTACCATCCTCCTTTCCTTTTTCTTTTTCTTTCCCCTTTTCTTGTTCTTTGTTCTCTTCCTTCTCCTTCTCCTTCTCCTGTTCTTTTTCTTTACCATCCTCCTTTCCTTTTCCTTTTACTTTACCATCCTCCTTTCCTTTCTCTTTTTCTTTCCCCTTTTCATCTTCTCCTTCTGCGCGTTTCTTCCTTACATTATTATGTTCTTGATCCGAATTCTTTGACTTTGTAAAATCAACTAATAAATCCTTGCGTGTAAGAACCGACCTTGATTTTAATGAATCTATCATCGAGGAACCACGTAAAATAATTTTATTGTTTTTTGAAACATTATCACTATCATGATTTGCTTCAACTAATGATATTGTGAATAAAAAATTTAACAGGATCAAAAATATTAGAATACGTGACTTTATTGTTGATACCATCTTTGAAGAGTAATATCGATGAATTTCAACCTTAGAAAGAAGTATTTTTTTTCCTTTAACAATACGCTATGTTTGATAAATTATTTAGAACGGTGAAAGGTTAACTTAATGCTTGGTTTCGCAACTTTTAAGACGTGACGACGTTAAAATGTACAGCTTATTAATTAATTTAAAATTAAAATGGAAAAAATTATAACGAAAAAAATTAAATGAAATGAAAATGAAAAAAAAAAAAAAAAAAAAAATGAGGTGATAAAGAAATTTTTCAATAGGGGAAAAAATATATATATATATATATATATGTACAATTGTTTACTTTATATATCTCTCGATTTGTGATTAATAGATGTTCAAATAATTTTTATAATCTGTGAAACATAAAATTAAATGAAGGGTCCTTTTCAGGATTCATTAAAATCGGGTTTTTTTTTTTGACAACATATTTAGAATCGCCTATTTATGAAAGAAATTGATTTGAATCCTTTCAAAAGTATCAACACTTGACAATATGTATCATCCATTCTTGTTCCCATTACAAATTCCCAATTTCGTTCATCCGCCAAAACATGATCATGTATGAGTTGTGAAGTTGCAAACATTTTTTTCTTGTAGAATGTTCTTGCCGCAGAAAATATTTGTTGTTATAATGTTTTTAAGAATACAACGTTTCGAATTCGCAAAATAATAATAAAAACAAAACTATGATGAAATATTGTGTAAAAAATTAAATGTGCACAATATGTATTAACGCAAGGAAAGGGGAATTTTTTTTTTTATCTCCTAAATTACGAAACGTCCGTTTTAGGAATTAATACATTTTTATGGTTAAAACCCTTTTAAACTCTGAACGATAAAGTGGAGATATAAATATTTTTTTTGATTATTTAAACGCGGTTAATTTTAAATCACTCCCTTTACAACACGAGATTCAATATTTGTTTCTTTTTTTTAAAAAAAAAAAAAAAAAAAAAAAAAATATTTTATAAATAATTTTTTCAGATGTCTAAAAATGGAAAAAGAATAAAGATGTATGCAACGTAGTAATGTAATGTGCACATCTCTAAACTACACTAAGCCATCCAAGGTTACACTATTACACTATTACAAATATTCCTCTTAATTTGGAACAATGATTGCTTTTCGGTTTCAAACTAATTCAAAACGGGTATAAAATAAGAAGGAAAACAATTAATTTACAACAAAGAGAACAAAGAAGAAATTTGTTTTTTTTTTTTTTTTCGAAAATCGATATTGCTTCCTGATCAATTTAGATTAATTCGATAAAGTAAATCTATAGAAAAAAATTATTCAAAGTGCATACTGGTAACGTAGCATTCAGACACAAAACGTTGTGAGAGCATCGAATTTTATCTCCCTATAAATAAAGAGTAAATTATGCAATTGCAATTTTTTTCGGCACTTGAACTTAATTATTTTGTAACCTTCAACAAGTTTTTTGCATGAGCCAATAATAATAAAATGTCCGTAAGAAAACCACCGACACACGTGCGTGCTTTAGCTTATCTTTTTCATCTCTTTCAAATTCCAATTTGTACATTTGAAGAAGTCACAACGTTCTCTCGATTCTCTTTCATTAAACGTTAGGCTTCACGTATCCTAATATAACCTTAATTACTTTATTCTTTTTTTTTTTTCTTCTTCATTTTTGAGTAAAAGTGGTTAGTATTATCATGTTTAATTAAAATAATTGATACTAATAAAATTTTATAAAAAACCGTAAATCGTAATATCAAGGAATTGTAAAACCAAAGTTACTTAAATGGCAATTTAAAAATAGTAATAAAAACCTTTCTTTTCCTCCCATTTCCTAAAATAATAAGGGGCTGGATTAAAAATGATAAAGATCGACATTATTAAGTTGGCTTTCGTCGAAACCGTAAAGAATTGAATGAATTTTGATCATTTGACCATGCAAGGCATAAGATTAATCCTTTGAATTATCCTTTCAAATTTGATTAATAAGAATGGTTTTTCATGTGTAGATTAATTAAACCGTAAGTTTTTGTTCTTCAAATCAAATTTCATAAGACCAAATCATAATACTAGAAAAAAAAAATTTATTTGCCAATATCAAATAAGTCCAAAATGAGCAAAACGAAGCAAATATTAATCGCATTCAATCGGATTACGCTGATTCTTGACTTAGATAAAGAAAAATCTTATCATCTACACATTAAAATAAAATATATATATATATAAGTATCAATGAAAATTTTATCATCCACAATTTTTAGCATGGATTCAATCGAAACTTCTTATTATGTTCCTGCTGACAATATTCCTTATAACAGTAACGCTCAAACTCCACCTTACATTTTTTCTATTTTTCCAACTTTTGACATTTTTTCATCGGATAACACTTATTTTAACTATAATCCATTTTCTGAAAATTATTTTGAGACGAACCCTCTTGCAAATGTTCTTCTAAACGGTAATGGAGGTGAGCATATTAACTTTAATAGATAACATTTAACTGGTTCTGCAAAAGGAAATCATAAGATCAAGAATTAACCGCCTATTCGTTAAAAAAAATTTTTATTTCCTCCTAAAGCACCTCCAAAAGCGACTCCAAAAGCGCCTCCAAAGGCATCCCAAAAGGCACCCCCCTGTAAATGGACCGGAAACGACACTGAACTCTTTCTCTCTTTATTGAAAAAAGAAGGTAATAAAAAAATGTTGAAAGAACTAGCAGATAAACGCGGTGGTAGTCGTTTTAGAAAAAGTTATCTTTGGAACAATGTCGCATCTAAGTTATCAAATAATAGATTTACTCCCTATCAATGCGAGATAAAATGGAAAAACATTAAACAGGTTCGAAAGGTAAGAAAAAAATTTTTATTTCTATTAAAACATTTGACTGAAAAAAAAAAAAAAATAAGTTTTCATTTTGTTTATAAATAAATTTTATTTTATTAGAATAATCCCAATTGTAGGTATAATTTAGTAGTTGAAGAAATTCTCGGCCTAATTTAGTTGGTGGATAGCGGAATCTGAATCAATTTTGTTGATATTTTTTTTTGTTTATGAGTTGTATATATATATTATAGTAAATAAAATATTTTGTATTGTATTTATCTGATTTTCACGGTGATCAATGATTTTTTATATATAAACATCAGTACGTTTAGTATAATTATTTCTCTTATGGTAATACAGTATATGAACATATCAGAAAGGGGAGGTATAAAATAATTAAAGTTTAATAAACTTACAAAATATAAAATGACAAAGACCTTGACTACCTTCAGATTTTTGAACACTAACACAAAAGAGCGTCCTTATCCAGATCGGTGGAAATTATAGACCCCGAGACTAGGTAAATTAACCTAGACCTCCCTTTTTTGGGGGTCGTCTAAAGCGGAGTAGTATCACGTGAAAATAAAGCGTACGATGATTGGTTAGAGGTAATGGCAAATG